AAATGGATCTCCTCTATGAAATCAATACTTAGGGTAAAACACTGCTATGACACAGTCCTCTTATGACATCACAACATACATGCTATAAAACTGTCTCTAATATTCAAATATTTATAACTCAAGTTATATAACTTTAAAATATGTTCTTGATAGAGATTATCCAAAAAGTGAAAAGCAACCTACAAAATGCCAGAAATATTTGCAAATCACATATCTGATAAGGGATTAATATCCAGAATATATAAAGAACTCCTACAACTCAACAATAAAAAAAAAAAAATCAAACCAACAACTTAATCTCAAAATAGGCAAAGAACATGAATAGTACCAAAGAAGATATAAAATTGACAAGTAAGCATATGAAAAGTTGTTGATATCCTTCTTCATTATAGAATTATAAATCAAAACCACAATGAGATACTACTTTATAGGCAATAGAATGGCTGCAATTTAAAAATAGAAACAAATAGAAAATAACGAACTTTGGTGGGATGTGGAAAATTGGAATGTTTGTATATTGCTGGTGGAAATGTAAAATGATATAGCTGCTGTGGACAGATAAACAGACGTTTTGTAAATGTACTACATGTTGAGCATCCGAAATCAGAAGTGCAGCAATGACATGAACCCATAGTGGAAAATTCCACATCTGCCTCATGTGATAGGTCAAAGTCAAAATGCAGACACAACAAAAATCCTGTCTAAAATTGCCTGTAGGCTCTGTGTAATAAGGTACAACTAACACAAATGAATTTCACAGTTAGAATCAGATTCTATGGTCAAGATATCTCATTAAGCATACACAAATATTCCAAAAAAAAAGACCCTTGAAATCAAAACATTTCAAGGGATACTCAATCATTGCAATATATTATCATTCATTATCTACTTATTCATTGTTATTATTCATTATTCAAAAAGAAATGAAGTTCTGATATATGCTACAATATGGGCAAATCTCGAAAATGTTTTAAGCTAAGTAAAATAGCTAAGCCACATACAAGAAGACAAAAGTTATACGATTCCATTTATATGAGATGCCCAGAAAAGACAAATTCATAGAAAAAGTCCATCACAGGTTATAAGCAGAGGTCACAATGGGGAGTTGCTGCTTAATGGATACAGATTTTCTGTTAAAGGTGAAGAAAAATTTTGGAAAAGGATAGTAGCGATGGATGCACACACAGTGAATGTAATTAAGGTTACTGACCTATACACCACCGAAATGTTAAAGTGGTAAATCTTATGTTACATATGTTTTAGCACAATAAAAAAATATTTTTGAAATGCATTCTGAGTAAATACTTCAGCTTAACAGCAAGAAAGTTCACAGTCTCTTAGTCAAAGCAAGTTTCAATAAAATGTTTAGCTTTACTACTAATACATTCTATTTATAGTACATTTGCTTCTAGCTCAGGAAACAGAGAGAGGACAAAAATAAGTGTTCATTGAGTCAGAGATTTAGTGAGAACCAGGAAACTAATGGGTTTATGAGAGTCAAATCAGAGGTGAATTTTTTTAGTGTTTATACTCTGAAGGCTCATTCTTCAATGAAAGCTGATGTCACATGTCTACAAATACAAGAGCCAGTGCCCAGGAGCTTTCTTTGGCTCATATTGTGCTAATTCCTTTGGACACTAACAATGTAGCTGGAAGACAGACACCGGGCGGAACATTCTCAGTGACATTCTCTTGGTGCCTTTTTTTCTTCCTCCCACCATTTTGTGCCCACCTGAAGGTGCAATGTTCATGGTGGCCCCAGGCAGCTCTTCACCTGACTGACATCTACTCCTGTTCTGTTTCCTGATTGCCTTCTTTCTCATTAGAAATTATTTCAGTAAGATTTGGGAATCCAGATGCCTTTTGGAAGTCAAAAGTTTTTTCCACATGACTGTTTTCACCACTGAAAATAAGGAAGACCTTTTCCTCTGGATACTCCACTGGGATTGTTAAGCACATTACTGAAAGCAAAATAAGATCTCTGGGGTATAGACATTACCAACATTAGAAACACTCATAAAAATTCTGTTTCCTGAATTTTTCCCTTCCGTCTGAATTAGTAGGGTTTGAGATCACTTTCAATGGAGGGCAGAAAATAGCTTTTCTATTAAATTAAGCATCCAAATTACTTTGATATATTCATTATTGACATAATAATTATGCCACTTTTCATTTCGAAAGCAGCATATGCTTCTATATATCAGTGCATTTCTCTTTCCACATTTTCCTTTTAGATGTGTGAAGGTAATTGTTATTATCCTAACTTTTCAAATATAGACCCTAACACCAGAGAGGATCAGTGCTGTGCTCAAATCAGAGAAGTTTCAGCACAGACTCTCACACCCCCTACACCAAATACCCCTTACAAAGCATTCTTTATAATTAGAACAAATCACAGGGCCCTGTGCATAGGGATAAGGCTGGAATGAACAGTAAATATTAAATATTATTGGCTTCTTAAACTAATATCAACCCTATTCTTTGAAATCTCCATATTAAAAACCAACTTGGATCCAAGAAATTTCTGCTATAGGTTAAGTTTGTACCAACCCCAACAGCAAAATAACTAATGCATTGATTGAAATTGTGGTCTATTCATTTGCTAGCTGAAATTCATAATTTTTTATTTTAATAAAGTTGGCATATCTGAAATAGACTTCAGATTCCTTGATAACTTCCTTCCTTTTCTTACTTTCTTTTTCTTAAATACCAGTAATTTTAGAACCAATTCTGTTTGGAAGATAATTCTACTATTTACAATTTCCTGGGGTTGTGGCAGATGAGTGGGGAAGAGATGAACATTAAGAGTTTATGGCTACAGGCCTACATGAAGCCAAAAGATCATTCTGAGGTCTTGTTTTTTGTTTTTTTTTTTTTTTAAACACATATGCAGGGAGGGAGAATGGCTCCCAAGGCACATTATGAGACGATCCACAATAAATATGAAATTCTGCTATGTCTTCCCTCTTTATTTTATACATAATATTCCTGAAGTCCAGAGAACTTAAGTAGTTGGTATACAGTCCAAGGACAGCCATAAAAAGACAATAAGACATTTAGAATCTAGATCCACAAGCTCCTTCTAAGGAGGGTGGATCCTGTTAAATAAAAAATGCCTTCTGAGCTGAGCAAATAGTCATAGGAGCTGAAGACAACTGTACTGCTCCACCTGAGAAAGCATCCCCCGCTGAAGTTGCCTTGATAGGAACAGAGATGAGGGGGGAGAAGAGAGGCACCCTGAGAGACCCAAACTGCTGTGAGCTCCCCACCACTCACAATTCATCAGTGAAACAGAAAATGCTGCTTAGTATGAATTATTAGTGGAAACTGGGGAAGGAAGGTAGTTTCAAGTCCCAATTAACTTCAGTCACCATTGGCAGGTGAATACAAAGGTTCACTTTGTCTGAGGACTATGAGAAAGCAAACTTTGTGGAATGGGCAGGAATAACAAGGAAGTATTGGGCTTCCGTAGTTAGTAGAATTAGGTATTCAAGACAAGTTTATGCAGTTTTTTTCCTATAACAGGAACACCTTGCATTGTTAATAAAATACACTAGCTTGTAGCATAATTAGAGCTAAATATAGGCATTTGATTCCCAGTTCAATGCTCCTTCAGATTGTAATTTCATTTTTCAATAGACACAAGCCTTCCTGATAACTCCAGCTCCTAGATAAGGATTGCTACCTTGAAAGACAATTCAGAACCCAGAGACCTGAGCAAGGAGCTGTCAAATGGGAGAATAAATTCTGGATCTAATGTCTCCTTCTTCAATAATAATTCTTTCTTTAACGTCTCAGTCTGATTTACCTGGTTACTTTTACTACTGTCTGTATATCTGATGTAGATTATATCTGCCTCTGAATCTAGAAAGCAAGTATGAATTTCAATCTGGATGTTCAAAGAAGCCAGTAATGTTAAATACCAAAACTTTAGACCATCTTAGTAATTGTAGGACTGTGAATCTCCATCACTCTCTTTGATCTTAGAAAAGAAATTTGCTCCATTTTCAGAAAGGGACACCATGGGGCTCATGCTCTGCATGTTCCTGACTTGAAATTTTTAAGGATTTTTTTTTCTGTCAATTTGTGTTTCATAAGTGAAGTCCCATGGGACAGCAGAGCATATGCTAGGAATTGGAGCCTCAAACACTTGAAGTTCCACCTCCAGGGGATGGGAACTCTCTGTTGTCCTGTCTGCCTCCTCATCCCTTCTCAGTGGGGTCAGGTCCACACAGGTATATTAACTGAGCTTTGGGTGAGGTTGAGCATCCCTGAGGGTCTGCACTCACAAAAACTTGCACCTGAAAAAATCAGATATTAAGCAGCAAATAAAAAGAACTATGACAGATCAAGAAAGATATTTGATGCTTTTTTGAGCAAAGGACCCCACATTTTTATTTTACACTCAACCCCACAAATTATGGTATGGCCTTGACTTTTCCTGTCCCTTACTTGGAAATCTCTAATCAATGTTAATTTTGGATCCTTTACTAAATAACTACAACCTATATGGAACAAGTCTGATTTTACTAAAATACTATTTGGCTTCAAGAATTCTAAATACTAAGCACAAAATCAGATATTTTTGATAGTTCAACAGGGGCATAAGACCTCCAAATTAGTCTTATTAGAAGCTATAATTAATAGCAGGAAGTTTGGATCTGTCATTGACTTGAAAATTATGAAGCAAAGAATGCAAGACTTGGAATTTTTTTTTCACTGAGGCAAAGTGTAAAAAACGTTATTTATTCACAGTTTTTTTAAGAATATTATCACTCAATATCTCCTATCACATCAAGGAATTTTTTTTTTTTAATTTTGTTACTTCTCTCATGTGCTGATGTTTACCCACAGTGACAGTAGTAGATTTACCCATTATTTATCTGGTACCATAGTAAAGTGACCATAACCAGTGATAGCAAAGAATTCAAAGATGAAGAGTAAGAAAGAGCTTTTTCTTTCTTTTTAAATTGCATCTGCTTTACATCTTAGGCTCTTACCTTGAGTTTGGCCAAAAGAAGTTCATGATCATGAAGAAGTTTTTTGGTTTCATCTTGACTGCTCCCAATCTCTAGAAGATTGGGCTGTGATTCAGCCAATTGAAGTTGTACCCATTTGCCACACTAAAAATAAAAATGGAATAAAATGCACTTTTAGTTCCCCTTACTTCTTCCTCTTTACTCTTCTCCTTTTCTATTTTTATTTTTTTAATTTCCAGTTATAATATGAAATCTCTTTCTATAGAGATAGGCCTTGCTTAAGTTGAAATGTAGCAAGCAGGTCTAATATAAATGCATGCTTTGTCATGTTTTATTCTTATAATAAATTCATCTCTCAGTGTAGATTTAATTTTTTAAATTCCCTAATGAGGAACACATACAATGAATTATGTATTACTGAATATTCCGAAGTTACAGGATAATTAACACAACTGTATTCTCACAAAACTGAACTTCCATAAAAATAGTGAAACTCCATGTGGGCAACATAGGATGCAAACTTCACCACAATCGGACATGGGCAGTGCTATTGAGTCCACTGAGATGGACTTTCCACCCTGAATACCATCAAGTGTATTTTATATGGAGATGGTAGTAAGGGAAAGGAGTTGGGGAGGGGACAGTGAAGGAACGTTCTAGAAACATAATTCAGTTAAAAATAATAGTATCCAGTGTAAAGTTTTTTGTTGTTGTTGTTTTTCCTATGTTCATCATCCCTCTGATTCTCCTATAGATTAATTTCCTAAACATTATTCTTTATCCTGTTCTAAGAATGTTTCATTTGAAGAAAAGAAAAGTTAAAATCTTTTAAATAGGAAAATTGCCTCTTTTCCTTCATTGCTGAAATTTACAGTTGCTGGAAGCCTCATTAAATCACATACAAATGATCAGTTCTCACTACTTCTGCATCAGAATTCTCTTCATCTCCACCTACTGCCTTCCGAAAGACCAGAGGGCAAGGGAGTCAGCAGAGGTCCTGTATACATGGGGGCAGGTCTCCCCAGCACAGGCAAATAGGCCTCTGTAGGAACACTTTGCATTCTGTGCTTCTATAATGAATCATTTTGCTCAATGTCAAGTTCTGTTTTTCTGTTACGAGTTTTCATATGACCATAAAATTTGCAGCAGTTAAACAGGACTTGTTGTTCTTGCTCTAACAAAAGGCTAAAAAAGCATTCAATTAAGTCTGCTGGTATCCTGAAAGTAACTGGCTGGTGAACACCAGCTCCTTTGCCAGGTTTCCTTTCATTACACACTGAATTCTTCTTCTTCTTCTTCTTCTTCTTCTTCTTCTTCTTCTTCTTCTTCTTCTTCTTCTTCTCTCTCTCTCTCTCTCTCTCTCTCTCTCTCTCTCTCTCTCTCTCTCTCTCTTTCTCTCTCTCTCGTTGTTGTTGTTGTCATTGCTTTTGTGGTATTGTGGTACTTTTGTGAACCCAGGGCCTTGCACATTCTAAGCAAGTGCTCTACCACTGAGTTACATGCCTAGCAAACACTGAATTCTTTAGATGGTAACTTGTCTACCACCCAAGTACAGTGCTTCAGAGGTTTCACAGGCCATTTTCATAGGGAGTAAAGTCATGGGTGTCTTCTTAATCCTAAGATGTCTGGTTATCTTTGCAAGTGAGAAAATTGCTAGACATAAAACATGTATTTAAGCACCAAGAGGCCTCAGCTTCTGACTGTTAAAAGCAAATTTCATACCTGCTTTTTACACCTTCTGTAGCACTCCCCCAGCAATGTGACAAGGATTTAGTAGCACTGTTACCACATTAAAACCAGTGCTGTATGGGGTGCAAGTCAAGCCCCTTCCTAGGAGTCTCCTGTGCTCCATCATCCTCAAAACATTGCCACCCTCTAATCTGCCTCCTCCCACCTCCCTCACATCTACTCTCAAACCCACAAGCCATACACAGCCCTGCCAGCCTCCTCAGCTAGTAAGCATGACCCTCTAATCCACGTGCCTTGCCTTTAAAGACCGAACTGAAAATATATGGTAGGGGTCTTTTAATTCAGCTGCTCTAGATGCTTTCTATCTAACTGAAAGGAAAGAGAAGCTCTGGAAACTGGCTGAAACTTAGTAAAAGTTTCTCTCTTAGTTGCTGATTTCAGAAAGCAAGAGTATATACTGCTCTTTTCTATGTTCTGAGTCCTGCTGATTGCGTGTAGTGCTCTTTAGGGTTATCAGCATGCTGCAAGAAGCCCAAGTCACACAGAAAAAAAAGAAAGTTGTTCACTTACCTTTATGACAGCTATCACGATTCTGCAGTCTCCAGCCTGCACAGCCACTGAACTGACAGTTGTTGTTGAAAACTCCACTCCAGGACTTCCTTGGCTAGACATGGTACTTTACAACCAGAGTTTATTCCTTGGGCAGCCTCTGCTCAGATGCTTGTCTGCTGGTCATTTCAGAAAGGAACCACCGGGGTTACTTGGATTCATTCAGGGAAAAGAGCTCTGCTTGCACTGATTACTTTGCTGAAAGTAAAGTACAGGAGGTTAAAAATAGACAGCCCCATTGAGTTTATCATAAGAGAGGAGAGAGAGGGGAGCAATCGCAGAGAAGAGCCACACCCCTAGTATGGTAACACTAAGTGCCTGTTATTTTTTTGCCATTATCTGAAAAGTGAAGGACAGCTTCGAGCTCTTTGCCTATCAGCTGATGTTTGATAGCAAATGGAAAAAAAAAAATACATCCTGACAACCCAAATTAGTTTTGCCATTGAAACTAAACAGTTGTAACTACGGACTTTGAAGCCAGCAAGTCATTGACCTGGATATCAATCTTTTCAAAAATTTTCAAGTCTCTCATGAAAAAATAAAAATACCAAAAATGTACTTAAAAGTTCTGGTATTTGTTTTGAGGTTAAGTCACAAAATTGCTTGAAATATATTTTTAGATTAATCTGCTTTTCTAAAACTTACTGCCCTTTGCCAAATGAAGTTTATGTGGAATAGTTACATTTTCTCAGAGCCTCAGATTTCTTAGGAGCATTTTAAAAATAGTCCAACCAGCATTTATCAATAGATACCTATCATTTCAGGATTTCTTTGTGACGGTTCTGCTCCATCAAAGAGCATTTTTTTTTTCAAATTATTCCTCACAATTACTTACAGAAAGCAAAATGCTTTGCTGTTACCTTTTAATTGCAGCAAGAAAAGAGTTTTTAATCTTATTTTTAAATTAAAGGCTAACACTAAGTATACTTAAAAGAAAAAAAGAAAAAGGATAGCACTGTACTGGCTTGGCTTCTATTCTTTACCCCACCCCCTGAGAAGAAAAATTATAACTGGCTTCAAATCAGAGCCCAAGATCCACAGATCAATCCTATTGCTAGAAACTCCTCATGTGTCACAGTTGTCTGTGGTATTAAGCAGCAGCTGTTGGAGTCCTTGTCAAAGAACAGCTGAAAATAACACTGAAGTTTAGGTCAAAGGTCAGATGAAAACACATCAGAGACTCCAAAGCGGCTGAAACCTTTGGGAATCTCTGGGACAAAGCCAGAATGGAGGATGTGGCAATAAACAAGTTAAATGCAACCACTCACAGTATAAAACCCTAGCCCAGTTTAAAGGCATGTTCAGGTTCAGGTCTGATGTTCACAAGTCTGAGCAGAATTGCCTTGTTTTGCTAATGTTCACAGTAATATTCTTGAATCAAAGGGGTAGAGAAATACTTTTACATAAAACTAGATGTTCAGTAATTGTTTTTGTTTCCAAGAACATGTCATGGCTGCTCTGCCGTTGTGTACGTGTGACCCTTGGCTTTTGCTTTCAGCATCTGCCTGCTGCTCCAGTAAAATGAAACCACACCTGGATCCCAGATCCAGTGAACAAACTTCACCTGGCCCTGAGAGCAGCAGCTGGAGCATGCTACAATGTAGAAAATACTATGAATGGTTTCATTTCATAGCAGGACTGGAGAGCCTGCAGAGAGCGAACTGCCTTGGAATACTGAAGGCTTCCACTTAAGCTATTGCATAGTTGGTCCACACAAAACCAAAACAGATTGCAACTCATTTTTAGCTAATTGTCCTGAAGAAAAAGCAAGACTTGACACTTGTGTCACAGAATATCCACACCCTAAACTAAACTGCCAAAGGGGTATTGCTTAAGCCACTATGTACTTGCCAACCAGAACAGCAAACAGTGACCTGCACTCAAAACCCTCCATGCACTTTGACCCAGAGTTAATCTCACTGCTAGAAACTTGTGTCACAAGTTGCATAAAGGGCCTGAGGATGGAAAGGGACATTTCAACAGCACACTGCAAGGACCACAGGCTAAGTAGCTCTGTCCACAAAGCCCCTCTCAAGAAAGACTGTGTAGGGGCCACAGAACACAGCAGGGAGTGTCTGAAACTGCAGGGCTAGTCAGAGGAAATGGAGCGGTCAGAGCAAGAGCCTGAGAGTCTAGTTAATTCCAAGGTTTAAGGGCAAAGGGAATTAGAAATATTTAAGACTTTGTTAGAAGATTAATCCAGCTATTCAGCAACAAAGGTAGTGCCCTTTTGTGCATGTAGATGACCTTTCTTTCTATTAATTAGATGGAGCAGGTCCAGGATGTTGCATAAAGAAAATGTTTTCTACTTTGGTGGACACGAGCAATAAAGCAAACGGTGTGGTTTCTGACTAATGTTTTTATTTTAACTCGAATTCTTGGCTTTAATTCTTTCAAAGACTCAAATCATTTTGGCTTTTCCTCTTTCGTTATTCTCTCTTCCTACTTTTTTTCTTGCTTAACTTTTTAAAATCTTTCCTTTACAGAAGCCCTGTTGCTCAGACCTCTCCATCCACATCTAGTTTCCTTAGAACTCTGACCTATTTTTATTCATCTAGAACAATAATTACAAATTGCAATAGTGACTCCAGTAAGCAATTTGGAGAACAGTTAGTACAAAATATATTGTACTAAACGAACTGGTACACCATGCTTAGATGGAAACACTACAACTTGTTTTAATGTTAAAGTAGTAAACATTTCTTGAGTTACAGCTTATTTATACTCTGCCTCCCCTATCATCACCAAATAAGAAAAAGAAAAGAAAGAAACCAAAATAAAACAAAATGAAAACCTTACAGGCATTCTCAGACCCTTGAAGTTTATAGTGGATCTTGCAGAGGTTATTATGCCTGCTCTGTTTATCCCTCTGGGAAATGCCTGTTTTTATATAAACTAAAATATTCTCCATGGGGAATCACAAAGCTATGACTGGATTCTGTAGAGTTGTGAATAGCACATTTTTAATGAAATAATAAGAGCTAGTAGTCTGAAGATCTGTTCATGTGATTACTTTTCAGTTCTATCAACTAGTTTGCCATTCTTTTTTTTAACATTTTTTTTTTTTTAGATGTTGATGGACCTTCATTTATTTATATGTGGTACTGAGAATTGAACCCAGTGCCTCACACTTGCTAGGCAAGCACAGCAGTGCATGTAGGGTCTGTTCATTTTTTCATACAGGATCCCATCTATTTGTTTTAACCAATATGAGTGTGTGTGTGTGTGTGTGTGTGTGTGTGTGTGTTCCTGGGGATTGAACCCAGGGACCCCAGCATGCTGGGCAATCACTCTACCACCAAACCATATCTCCATTCTCTAATCAGTACTATTATTGGTTAAGCTATATTCAACTTTATAAAGACAAAGTGGATAGACCTGATATAAATAATTCAAAGTCTGTTTACCCAGATTAAAAATTCAATGCAAAATTTTCTCTGATATAATCATTAGTAGTTGTAATAATAGCTACCATGTACAGACTGATCATTATGCGCCAGACTGATCATTATGTGCTTTCTACTTTTATCCCATGTACTCCACATTATAAGGCTAGAACAACCGATTTTCCTGACTTTATAAATGATGTACTTATACCCACATATCCACACCCACACAAGGATTCCTTGATTTGGCCACCTCTGGTCCAGTTTTGCCTGAATTTCAAGCTGATTCATGATCTGCTCCTCCCTACTGCCTATCACATACATCACTATTCCTAGAACACAAAGATCAGCCATGTACTGTACCTTAGTTCAGTTTTCCATCCAGGAATATCATTCCTTTCTTCCCTCCATCTAAATTCCTCCCATCTCTTAAGACCAAGATATCAACTCTTTGTAGAAGATGAATATAGAAAAAGAACCAAATTCCTCTTTCTTTAAAATTTAATTACATCTCAATATTCAATAATTATTTGCTGCTATTATAAACTTGTATTATTTTCTAGTTATTTCACTTCTATTAATATTATTTCTCCATTATATTTGAAGATCTTTATGGAGAGGAGCCATGTCCTAACATTTCTGAATCTTTGCCAATCAACTCTTAGGGTTATTGTAGAGATTTAGAACTGTTTCACAGAGTACTTAAGAGGAGGAGCTGGTATTTAGTAAATGCCATGAACCACAGAACCAGACCCCAAACTGGTACTTATAAATACTGGGTGACTTTACTGAGTCACATGAATCATATACGAAAAAAGAGAGACAGTTTTAATACTATTCATTATTATTCATGCAATCAACAGTTATTGAGCAGAGATACACATCAGGTACTTCTGCATCAGGGATAGAGCAGTGAGAAAAATAAAGAGGCCTCTGCCCTCCAGAAGCTTTTCTCACATTTCAGTGAGAAAAGGCAAGCAATGAAATAAAAAAAACAAGGTTAAAACACTAAGAGAAAAACAACTGGCAATGGCTTAAGTAGATTGAGTCACAAAAGTTATGTTTATAATTTGCCAGAGAAATCATAGAGTGCTGTCAAGGTGTTTGTATTGGAACACAGAGGTTAACAGGAATAATAAATGAATAGTGATTTAACAACAAAAACAGTCAAATCACACCCTATGGCCAAAACAGTGTCTCAACCTCTCTGGACCTCAATTTTCTTGATGTCAGCTGAGATAATGGGAACATTCACATCATAAAGGTTTCTGGGGGAGGATTAAATAAGATGATATTTGTAAACAAAAGAATGTTGACAGTTACATATTACTATTTCTAAGATGACAACATCTGTTAAGGGATTTCCTAAATCTAGCAGCTGCCACAAAATTTAAAAATGAATTTAAAAAATTAAGTTGAATTAATGCACATGGCAGACAACCCGAATGGAATAATCATACTAGAAAGACATAAAATATATTTTCCTATAATCAGATACAAAATTATTCCAGGGAGACATTACTTCTTGATTGCCATCCTAACCGTTCGACTCACTCTTTACAAATATTGTATAAAACTTTTCCTGATACCTCTCAGCTATTTCTTGGATGACAAGCATCTGACTTAATTGCCATCCATAAGTAAATGGAAGTTGCTCTTTCCCCATAAGCCAACCTCCAGTTCTTGCCAGTTTCCTATTCATCTAGGCAAGTGCTCATCCTCACCCATCAAGTAGGGCTACATGCCTACTATGTGTCAAATGTGTAGATGCCAGGCACTTACAATAAATATGACAAATCCCATCTAG